TTACTGTTGCAAGAAAACTTTGCACTCTGCTGAGAAGTAATGCTGTTGTATAATATATCTGACAAGTTGAAGAATGGAACAAGGGGAAGAATTACAGATTTAAATGAAGATGGACCAAAGTTAATTGATTAACTATGGAAGGACCAACTGTAGACTTTTGTCAAATAGGTATGGAGATCAGATAAAGAAATGCACATCACAACAGCATTAATCAACAAACACAAAAATAGTGGTTTATCACACACAACTTGGTACACATTTAGAGAATGGATTTGTGGTAGTTGTGATTTGCTGTGCAGTATTTTTTCATTTTGTTTATTGTATCTGTCAATACTGACATGCAGTGCAACTTACTTTGGTCTAGGGTTTGACTAGTGTAATTCTATGTTTGTGATACGCATGAACTTGGTTTATGTTGCTGTCACTGATAAAATTACCCTGGTTCAAGAGGCTTGTCTTTTGTTCTTTTACTTACTATGTTATCATGCCGTGAAGCAGCGATATGTTTTTGTTAATCAGTTTGTTTTTACGCCAAGACTCTGGTTTCAAGCGTAGACTGCAGTTTCGTGCTTAGCAAACCAATCATTGATCAGAGTAAATGTGATCTGTGATGATCTATTATTGGTTCATTTATTTGACATTTACATGTAATTATTACTTGATCATCAATAGAAACAACTTCAAATTTGTATTTAAAATGTTTTTTTAATATTATGAGAGTATGTTCCACCTTTTGCAAAAATTATGAGAATTGTTGAAATATCTAAATATCATAATATCGAGTGCATGATGGGTAATCCTGCGCAATGCCCTTAGTCCCTTGTCTTTGTAGTTTAGGGTTTTTTTGGCGACAGACTTATCCGTAGTTCTGAACATTTTCTCGATGTCAACAATGAATTATTCTAGCAAACCCACGTGTTCCGGACAATATATGGATATGTGGATATTATGATATTTAGATATTTAGACAATTCTCATAATTTTTGCAAAAGGCTGTACTGATATTAATATACCAATATTTAAAAAAAATTCTCTTACAGGTTCCTCTCTGCCAAGAAAACATATCAAAGACTACTTGAAGCATGATGGAAAACTTACAATGGATCCTGCTGGTGCATGAGATTTCAACATGAAAATAGAATAGAAAGCATTTTAAAGACAAGATTAGCTGGATTGGAAACTATCAATGAACAAACAAATACTGCCAGTTTACAGTTACTATTACTTACTAGCTTATTGTTTGCTCTTTGAGGTGAAAAGTAACCTTGAAAAGTAATAAAAATATTGGCAAACCATATCCGCAACAAATCAAACCAAACTATGGACATTAATTTTAGACTTTTCTAGACTTTTTCTCCAAAGAATATTGATAATATTGCATAGAGTGCATGCCACATAAGTGTGAAATGATTCTAATTAGTGCCTGGTAAGATTTAGTTATTAAAGTAACGAAGAATTTTGTGTTCATGTCCTAGTGAATTCTTAGTTAGTTGATAACTAAAGCTTATTAGTTGTTGATTGTTATTGAATTGTTTCATGCTTTTGTGGTGTGCACTCTAATGATACCATTTTATTTGCAATTTTTGGAATTCAAATTATATTGATATTCTTTTAATTTGTAATTATACAGTCACCCTTTCACTTTTTTCTGCACTATGCCAGAATCTGTGAGAAAGTTTATTTCACGGATAGAAAGTATAAACTGTATACTTGGCATTTTCACATTGTATAGTATTTTGAGCATAGTGATATACCTCAACTTGCCATCAGTCACTGTTGTGAAAAAAATTGCAACTTTCTTGATTGCTGTGGCCGTGCCTGTCACAAGTTTGTTTTCGCAGCAAAAAGTTTATGATGTTTGCTTAGCCTGTAGTAAGAACCATTATAAGCCCTTCTCCCATCTTTTCTTAGTCTTTATCAACAGCTTCAAAGAATTTGTAGCTCCTTGACTACTTTTAAGTCTTACATTTAAAAGACTCTTGAAATGAGTTCAAACATAATTTCCAGAGACAAAAGTTTCCTAGCAGCATCACTCAATATTTGCACTTGAGGAAGAGCAGGGAATGTATAT